TCTTTTATTTTGATCAATTGTTGGCTAAACAACTAGTATATGTTAACCCTATTAAAAGCTGGGTATTTATCATTAAATCCTACGCACTTCTCATTCTTTATTAAAAAGTCCTTCAACTTACAAAAATACTCAAAATAGCCCCTTTTTTGTTTATAATGGTATCAAAGCCTAGGTTATGATCCTTGGAAATCTTCTAAGAGTTCAAATTTTGATCTTTATATTACATTTATAAATATCCACACTCAACCTACAATGTATTATCTGCTTTGATATAAATGTTTCATGTATTTGTCTCATAAAAGACGCCTTAAAATATGATTTATATCTCAACATATATAGCATATCATATCCTCACATTCTTCCAATGTGGGATTGGGAGCATAACATATATAAAGTGTTCTGTCACCAATAAAAGTAATAAACTTTGCCATATATTTCTATCTTTAAGTATATAATTTTAGGTAAAAATTTTATATTATATATATGATAAAAGTACTAATAAAAAAATTTGCTAAATAAAATTTATGAAAATTAAATGGATAATAATTTTTAAAAACATCAAATTCACAATAATTACCTTAAAATTCTCCATAATTTTTTTTTACTAAACGAAAAAATGGTATATTTTTAATTGTTACTTCATTTCTATTACCATCATTCAAAATGACTTTTTTTATATTTTAATGTCAATCAATTTCTTCATTTGGAAAAAATAAGGATTGTTGTAAAAAGTTATAACAACCAAAATATTGTTTAACTCTATATTAATTTCCTAACTATGATATCTCTATCAAATAAAATGTTTGAATTATTTCCCTCAACTCATATAGTAGCAACTTGATCAACAAATGAACGATTATAAACTTGTTGATCTAGATTAATATTTCTACATTACGAATTTCAAAATACTCAAAAGAAGATATATCCTTTAATCTCTACAAGACTTAGGCATAAATATTTTTTTTCTAGAATTATCATTAGTATCTCCATCACTTTTACAATTAAATTTTCATTGTATTGTGTTCTCATTCAATTTTGAAATTTATTACCGATGTCATAAAAGTATAGCTAAAATAACATAAATTAATAAACTCAAAACTTGAAACAATTCAAAACTCAAATTAAGTATAAATAAATTTTTTACTAATTTTAAATTTTAATGTAATTAAAATAACATAATACACATAATTATAAAAATGAACTAACTTGACTCGATTTCAATTTATTTTAAAAAAGTCAACAACTTAATAGTTATTTAAAACCTGAAATGATTTAACATTACAAAAATATGAATTGAAATAGTAATCTAATCAAAATTCAGTATTTCTTATTCATCTTCCATAACAATTCAAAAGTTCCTTAAGTTTTTTCTTTCATCTTCAATATCTTATTTTTATTGTCTTTATGATTGAATTAGTTAATTAATTTTAAGAGAATTTATAAATTGAAATTTCAATTATAAGTAATTAAATATATTTCTTTTTTATTTGGATTCAAGACGATCTGAATTAAACTTTTTAAACAAAAAGAAGCATGTATCAATTATTGAGTCAAGTTTGCTTAAGTTGATAAACGAATAATTGAGTACAGTATGAATATAAGTAGATGATAAGACTTGAATCAACTTAATTGGTTACTGATCATAAATTTAAAATCCAACTTAAATTATGAAAAGTCAAAATTAAAAATGATTGAAATACTAAATACACAATTAAATAAAAATTTATCAAATAAATTTTGTTAATGAATGTTCTTAAATCACTTTTAAGTTTAGTTAAATTATATATATAATAATATTTGATTTTAAATGTAATAGTGATAATTAATTTGATAAATTTCAATTCTTTTGAACAAATATTATTTAATATGGTAATCTTAAAATTTTTTATACAATAGTCAACATTTTTCAACTGATAAAAAGAGAAAATAAAAGATTATATAATATTGTTCAAAATAAAAAAGCTTCTTATTAATCCTAAAGAAATTTGAAATTAATACATTTATATTTTTTTATTGAAACATTATATAACATTAATCTTCTTTTTCATATAGAGAAGATAAAGTTATGCAAAACCAATCAACCTTTCATCTCATTTTTCAGCTTAAAATAATATTTAATTGGTACTTCTTTTAATTGAATGTAATTGTACATTCTATCAATTAAAAACTTAATTTTTTTAAATATTTTCTCTTTTAGTTACATAATTTTTTGTTATACAAAAATATTAAAATACATTATTTTAAAATTTAAAATAAAATAAAAAAATAAATTACTACCTTGGTACTTGTCCTATTTTCTAAGAAAATTTTAATTCTAAGAATTACAAACTTGTTATATAATATCCATACAATTTATAATGATTTCATTTTTGGCATTAACAACATCAATTTTCATGAATAAATGTAATTTTAGCATAAACACATTAAAAAAAAAAAACTATTCCATTGAATTTTGTAACACCTTGAAAGATTTCATAAACAACAATTAATTTTACTTGATAATTTTTTAGTTAGAATAATTCATGTTAGGTCGTTCATCCACTTAAATGACTAAAAAAGGGGGCAATTTAATACAATTAAGAAAGATTAAATAATTTTGAGATATAAATTAATCATATATATATGCATATTAAGATTAAAGTTGAGAGAAAATTAAATCAATTATTGTTTCAATCAATGTGAACAATTCTTATGACAATTTGACGAAATCCAATCTTAAGTTACTAGTAGCTTCACCACCTCTTGAATCATTGAACAATCCAATTAAAGTATTTAATGAATCACGTAATGCTAATTGTTCATAGAAAAGTACAATTGATTTGTATTTAATTTGATAGTAGTTTTTGTTTATGAGTATAACAATTATAAAAATTTCAAAGGAAAATAATACAAAAGAAAAATTAATTGTACATATCAGATTAACCTATAAGAATTATATATTAAAGAATTATTTTAAGGGACTAAAAAAATTAATTATGTTTTCACTTATCAAATGATCAAGTCATAAAACATATAAATAATAAAATCATTAACATATATCTATAGTTTAATATATTAAAACAAAAAAATTGAAAGACAAAAAATAAAAAAAGAAATAAATATGTTTTAATAACTTACTTATGATTATTTTTAATGAATTTATTTATCAACATAAATTACATATACAATTATTTTTATAACAACCAAAGAAACAAACTTCATATAATTATTTTATTTCTATGCATACTAAGTTTTGATCAAGTTCTATTTGTACTTTCATTTAAAATAAAAAATCATTCTACTTATAAAAAAAAATCAAATAATAAAAAAAGTAATTTAAATTAAAATTTTATAAAAAAAATTACAAATGTTATTTTAATCAATCACTTTTAACATTTTAAGAATTAAAATTTTATTGAAAGTATTTTAATCAATCACTTAACACTTTTTTAGTCTAATTATAAAAGGAGTCTAACAATAAAAAAAATTCATTTAAATTAAAATTTAGAAAAATATTTACTAAAGGTATCTTAGCCAATAACTTTTAACACTTTTGAAATTAAAATTTTAAGTAGTTTAATTTCACATAAATCCTATTTTTAAGTTTAGTTGATTTATATTAAACTTAATAAATTAATAAAAATTATATATTTATAGATAAATTTGTTAATTTAAAAATTTATAAAGATATTTATAAATTTTAAATCGATGATTATTAATATTTTTGGAATTCACTCTTTTATATATATAAATGACATAATCCAATGAGCAAAGACATCTTCATATTCTCCAACATCACAAGTATAAAATTTCAGATATTGATTTTTGAGACACAAATGCAATCGACAAACACACTTTGTAGAGTGTTGTACAAACTTTGGGGATGAAGAGACGAAGTGTCACACGCCAAAGTATTGGGATGGAAAATAGAATTCAGAAAAGAATATTGAAACCGTCCGGAACAAAAGCAGCAAGGATAAAGAGTAGAAGAATGACAACAAATGATAGTGAATAATAGACATTTCACATATTTAGAGTAATAAAAATAGACATTTCACATATTTAGAGTAATAACAATAAGACCATGCACTCAAATAAGAACTAATTCTATCCATCATCAGAATCATCCATTACCATAATCTTTCAATCAAGCATTCTCATATCCAATATTAATTGATAAAAATAATAAGTGGAGATTTCAATACATAGCAATTTTAATTCCTCCACACATGTGAGAATTAAAACATCATTTACTATTTAATTAACTCAGAGTAGACTATCAATGTATTTTGCATATTACTTTGGTGAATAGAAATGTTTGGAATATGTAATATAGGATCTTATTTAACGGAACTATAGAGTCATGTAAAACAAACCCACAAGCACAACACCAAGATAGCAAACTCAATTGCATAATTAATGCAAAGACTAAAGCATATACATCTATAATCCCATATTTTACTCATAAAGTACGAACTCTCCACTCTCCATTCTTCCATGGAGAAAAAATTGAAGGACAAACAGTTTTTTCTGCACTTTCATTCTAAAATACATATCTAAAGTTCTTTTCTGTTTTTTCCTCCAAACACATAATTAATGCTTGTTTGGGTGCTTAGAAGTGTTAATCACTGCATTTTCTTCTTCTAACCATCAGCAAGGATTAAGTTCTCGAAGCCTTGCAGTCCAGACTAGTTTCATTCAAGGTTTATAACACCAATAAGTTGATTGCTGAAACTTGGGGTATAAATATAGAAGTACCCCTTTCCTCCTATATGGCTAGGATTCTTTTCTCTCTCTCTCTCTCTCTCTCTCTCTCTCTCTCTTGTTTTATTTTTAAATTTCAGAATAGATCATCTACTAGTTTTAAGTTTCTTTAGAGTAGAAATAAAATTAAAACAGCAAAGTGAAATTGAAAGGAGGGGGGGGGGGGGAGAAGGGGTGCTTTTACTGAATAATATATTAATACATCAGAATCAATTTTTAATCATCCAAGAGGGAGGGGAAGGGTTGCAAAATAATAAAAAAAAATCCTATTTTTCAAACATTTCAAGCAGGTGAATAAAATTGTGGACCACCCTAAGCCTTAAGTTTACAAAAGCACTAAAATGTTTTTATTCCAGAAGACATCAACAAAGTCCAGCAGTCAAATATTTTTCAGACTTCACATACAAAATTGTTAAGCTATAGGTGAACTAGCAAGGAGAAAATGCCAAATGAAAAAGTATAAAGACAACACAAAAGATACCTCATTCAAAGCAAGCATAAACAGACCCCTAAAAGGCAAAAAGAGATACTTTGCAATTCCACAAAAAATGTATGTAATAGTATTCAGAGTGTAATGAAGATTGCTTTATTTCCCAAATATAGCTAAGTTTACCTAATACATAGTGCATGCTGCAGTTTGGTTTTAATGCAAGGTGGTGGCTTTACATTCCATTGTCTTTGGTTGTTTGAAGACAAGCTTCAACCTGTAGACAATTTAGTCCAGCTCAAGTTGAGGGATTGTAACTATAAGCTGTAAGTAAGATCATTTTCGACTGACAGTACTTTGGTTGGAAACAGTCTGCAAAGCTTTTTCCGTGGCTGCGAAAGGAGAATGTGGCACAAAAGAATACTTCAGGTCATATGAGATTCAACCCATTTAAAGATCTCTTCAGATTGCAAACTAGTCATTTCATGGTGTGCAAACGCAAGATTTAGCTCCTCCTGAACAGGATGCACCCAGTCCTTCAACAAAGTAGTCTTACTATCCTCGACAGCTTCTTTCCAATGTGTTGCACGCCCATCCCTTTTCATATACCCATTCTCATCTATAAAGCCTTTCTCCCGGAATAAATTGAACAATCTAGCAGAAATAGTCTGAGTGAGACCTGGGATTCTGTCAGATAAAAAAGTTGGTGACAGAGGTAATTCCATACATTCAATCTCTGCAACATCAATCCCTTTATTTCTCAAAACTTCCATAAATTCAGTTATTTTTTGTTGCCTATGAGCGTCTTTTGGCATGTGCACAAATAGGGTTGGCGGATAGTCCTGTCTGATGTCCATTTGATCAAATATTCCTTCAGCAATCATAAGTGTTATACTACTAAACTTCAAATCATTAGCAAGTGCAGATACAAAGTACCCACCAGAAGAGGCCCCCAACGCCACAAGAGGAAGCTTTTCAAGCTTCTGTCTATTAATCCACCATCTTATAATATCTTCAACAATCAATTTTTCCTTCCCAAACGTCCAGCATCTCCCTACACTCGATATAGTCAAGACAGCAAATTTCCGTGCAAGTGCATGAAGAACAAGCAGCCTTTCCTCCGGTAAACCAACACATTTAGGGCATTTAGAAGACCTATCCCAAAAGTTAACAGCTCTACCACTACATCCATGAGCCAGAAAAAGAACACCCTTAGGCGAGTTGGGTATTTGCCATATCAAATCCGTCCCATTCCTGAATTCCCTTTCAGGATTAAATTGCACCAAAGACTCAAACCTATTCCATTTTTGCTCATGTAGTCCATATGCCGACATCGGGTTTACATCATCTTTTTGGAAAAGCAAAACCAATGCTACTAAGACTGATACCAGAAACATAACTGGCACTATAACTGGGTAGTTTTGAGGCCCATGCCATGCCTTTGACTTTGTTCCACGATTGAACATTACTGTCAACAGACAAACAACAATAACCTTGAACGCTTGCAAAACTTGTAAAAATTATAACCCCTAAATGCATTCACAAATTCAGAGTCCAGTAATTGAGTGTAGGATTAGCCTAAGAGTCTCAACGGTTATTGCAATAAATCTGAAATGTTAGAAATTATCTTACGTTATTTGTAGTGGGTAAACACAAATGTTTCAGATGGAAAATGATAGAATTAAACAAGGCACGAAAAGTAAATACCTGGAAAAAAATTTTGGGTTGTTGGAGATCTAGTCCTCTGGCTTCGATTCTCGAGATTCTGTTTCCACTTCTTGCAGCTTTGAAACGGGTTAAGGTGTTTAAATCTTACCGAATCTAATTCTAAAACCCATTAATTTATCAATTTATTTATGTTTCGTAAAATAATATAATGAAATTACGGTAAATTAGAATAAGTTAGGACCATCAGTTTTAATAGAATTAATCCATCGTATTGATTTAATTTAATTAATTAATTAATTATTGAATTAATTTTAGTTGATTATAAAAGTTATTTTTAAAAATTTTAATTTTTGATTAATTTTATTTGAAAATTAAAATAATTAAATCTATCAAAATTTTAAATCAAATATTATAAAGTTTATATATAAAATTAAAAATATATGAAATTATTTAATTCACTTCAAGTTATTAGGCTGTTTAACTAAATGTTTTGGCATTTGAATATTTTTATTAGATAATTTTATTTAATTTATTTTATATATGAAAAATTAGAATTAAAATATAATTTAACTTAATATATTTTATTATTCAATTAATCAAAAAAATTAATTGAACCGATTAAATTAATTTCAGTCAACTAATTTTTAAAATTAAAAAATTTAGTTCGATTAATAAAAATAAAATAACATAATTAAATTAATTCAATTTTGAATAATTCAATTTAAAATTAATCAAACTAATCAAATGAACACTCTTAAAAATTAGTATTTTGTATGCTATTATTGTTAGACCATACCAAATAGAACTAACAATTTAAAATAAGATATAATGATATGATACGAATATAATATAAAAATAAGATGCGAATGTGATATAATTTAAAATTTTAACAATCGCTATACATAGATTTAATAAAACAAAAAAAAATATTTTATGATTTTATATTAACACGAATTGTAACACATAATTTTTATATAAAATATTATATAAATATATAAATTTCAGTGTTTTATATAATACGAATACACAAATCGTTAGGTTTAAGCCAAGTGTTGGGTTATTCATTTAAAATTTAAAAGGTTTGGATATAAATATTAGATATGTTAAATGAATTTAAACTTAATTAAAGGTTTGTTTAAAAAAATCACATAACATTTAAGGATTATATTTGATTCAAATAACTATTTTATATATTCTATAGTTATAATTATATTAAATAAAGAAGAAAGATCAACTTATGATGTAAAACTTAAAAAAATTTATATATTTTTTAACTATTGATTTCAATAGATCTAAGAATGAGAAAAACATGTAAAAAAAGGATTTAATCTCATATCTTGAATCTATTGAAATTAATAATTTAAAAAAATGTATAAATTTTTTTAATTTTATATTGTATAAGTTGATCACTCCTAAAAATAAATAAACAATTAACTAATATGTGTAAACATTAATGTCTTATACCTACATGTATCAAATTTGTTCAAAATTACATTAATAAAGTCATTTTTTAGGTTTTATTTTATCATAGTTCATTTTATTATATATTTTATTATTTTTTTCTTTTAAAAATTGAAATATAGGTAGATTTGAGCTGAGTTTAGGAAACTTTCTTTACAATCTGAATATGTCTGGACAGCAAATGAGGCCCACATTACAAGTTAAGTCGGGTTTGAACAAGTCTAAAGCTTACTAATATCCTGTTTGGGCCTAATTCAGTTTATAGATAGATTAAGTAGTAACTTGTAGGCTTTTTGTTTTTTTAGAATAATTATGGTTTAGATTTTATAACTTTTAGTAAACATATTTTTTTTAAAAAAAATTTTAAAAAAGAACTTCATACAAATAACAATTTTATTAAAAAGACATGTATCTATCTCTATTCCTATCTTCAACAAAAATTTGGAGTCTCGAAGATTTAATCTTTAACAAATGCAATAGATCTCTTTCATTTAGTGGAACAATATTGAAAAACAATTTTTTGAAAAATCTTAAAGCCTAAATAAGTAATAATATTATTTGAATTTTCACGGTATCATTTCCTCTATATATGACTAGATGCATGAGTTGTAATAGTCTTTCATTCAATACGCAACTCTTTTAAACTTTCTCGATAACCTTTCAGCGTGTGGGTTTTTATAAATATATATATATATATATATATATATATATATTTGGTAATTTCATACACTAATACAAAAAATACACAAAAAATTATATATATTATATATATTTTAAAAATATGTGTTATATTTATTCGTATCGATATGAATTTTAACATGATGTAATTCATAATTTATATATGTTGATATATCTAAATACGTACAAGACACGAAAAATATATTTAGATAAAATATATCACACGGATATATATTTAAGACGTGATATAACATGAAAAATACGTTTAATTTAATCATGTCACAAGATACACGTTTAACATATTTAACACATTTAATGCACTTTTATATTTATTTTAATGTAATAAAAACATATAAAGATTAGTTTAATTTTTAATTTTTTAATTATGATATCTAATTATCTATTTAATACTATATAAAAATTATTTAAACATTTAATTATAATACTCATTTAATAATATTATAAAATTATTTTTATATTAATAATATAAATACAATATAAATAATAATATTAATATAATACATTATTATTTTATTCCTTAGTCTTTAGTAGTTCATTATTTTGGATTTAGTACTAAAAACTAATATAATTGTGTATATATTTATGATTGTTATATTAGTAATGTATATATTAAAATTTAAATATAATATATATATATTAAATGCATATTAAATAGATATCAAACTTTTTTATATTTTTTTAATATGTAAGTATTTTTTTATATTAATAATGTATATATTACATTTATAAATCTTAAAATACTAAATATGTATCGTTCTTAGTAACTTTTTATAACAAAATTAAAAAAGGTCTTTTATCCAAAAAAGAATTGAGAAAAACGATATACATTTAATTATTAATAACAAGTAACATCTAACATTATGATCGTAGACACCCTACTTTGTCTATAAATTTTTTCGAAATCCAAAACCGACATTTGACCATAAAATGGGCCTAATTGGGAAATATTGGGCCTAATAAGATAAAAGCTCAAAAATTTTTTAATTTTTAATTTTAATTTTGATTCTTTTAGATTTAGTTTTGATTTTAATTTTGTTATTTGTTTGGGTTTCATAAAAAAGAAGTTAGAGGAAAAAAAAAGTTAAAGCCAAAAAAAAAAAGGAAAAAAATAAAAAATGGGAAACTATGGATTTATTCTAGGATTCAATCAAACCAAATCACATGTTATAGAATCAAATTACAAAAAAAAATCGATTAAATTGATTTAGGTTCTAAATTTGAGAAAGATTCAATCCTTATAAGAACAAAATCAATCACCAAGAAAAAACACACATAAACGGGGATGAGCAGGAATAAATAAAAGTTTTTTGGGTTTTTAATTTTGAGAGGTTCATTGTGTTTTTTAAATCAGTTTAAGGATTAAAAATTCCTAGGGTTTGGTTTTTTTTTTTTATTACTGGTATCTAGGTAATGATGGGAGTTTTTGATTTCGATTGATTGGAGATTAAGGTTCTTTTTTGGAATTTAAATTTCTGGGTTTTGAGTTTTAATTCAATTGTTTGGTGTTAAAAATTCTAGGTTTGTTTAAATTTCTAGATTTTTTTGGAATTGAGGTTAAATTTATTGTTTTGTCTTTTTAGTAAATTTTTTGCGTTTGGGTTTGAAGTGCTAAGAATTTTTTGGATTTAGTTTTTATTTTTTTGATGAAGCTTTAAAGATTTCGATGACGTTCATAATGGTCGAAGAATTTTGGACGGTGGTTTTTGCGTTGTTATAGGTTGGATTGAATATTTCGATGACCATTTGAAGTTTTTGACATTGGAATCTGGGTTGATTAGCTAGATTCTAAATATTTTGATTTTTCTAATTAAAGTTTGTAGAGAAAAGGTAGAGAGAAAATATTTTAGAAAGAGAGTGGAGAAGGACTGATTTGAGGACAATCGCTAAAAATTGGCATTTATACCAACTCCATACGGTGTCATTTTGGAATAGGATAGGATCCGCCTAACCTGCGTATAACCCACGTTCAAATTGGACGGTCAACACATGTTTTCCCTTTTCTTTTTTTGCTTATTTTCGGTTTTGAATTTTGTTTTATTTTATTTTATTGTTTGATTTTTATTTTCTTATTTTATTTTATTGTTTTGGTTTTTTATATATTAGTTTTATATTTTAATATTTATTATGGTTGTTTAAATTAATGTGGTGAGAAAAAAGAAAGAAAAAAATTGTTTATTTTTGCATGAGTTTATTTTTTTAGTACTTATTTTAGCATGAATTTAATATATTTGCATGAATTATATATATATATATATAATTGCATGTTTTCATATTTATTGTGTGATCTATTAGATATATTTTGTATAATTGCATGATTATATTTAATTGCATGAAAATTGCATGATATTTTATTATTATTGCAATATATATTTCATGGTATTATTTGCATGATGATTTTTGTTTATTCTAATTGATTTTTTTAATTAAAAAAAAGGTTTTCAAAAAATGTTTTTCAATCCTAATAAACTATTAGAGAATTTTAAATCTTGAACTAAGTCTTACCAAACTATTAGAGGGCTTAATGAATTTTCTTGAAAAAATATTTTTTAATCCTACCAACATTTTGAAGGATAATTCTTGATAGAAAATCTTACCAACATCTTAAAAGATATTTCTAAAAATAAATTGTTTTCACAAACAAATAAATTTTTAATTCTACCAACATATTAAAGGATAGTTTTTGACAAAAAATCTTACTAACATATTGGAAGATATTTTTGAAAATAAATTGATTTCACAAATCAAAGATTTTTAAGTGAATCCGATGACGGAATTTCTTCAAAGTGAGATACTAATCTCCATGAATACTTATAAGGTGAGAAAATTATCTTAAAGTGCTACCAAACTATTGGAGTAATTTAAGATCAATTTTCAATAATTAAATTATTCGATAAAATTACAAAAAGACTTTATGGCTTGGATAATTTGAAATCAAATTGGTACAATCTTTCGGATAAGCGCTGTGAGTGTGCTATAACGTTTTTCACGTGTAACCACACTCCTGAACTTAAAATTTGATTTCATAGACTAGAATCTATCTTTTAAATATACCCAA